CACAACACACACAACACACACAACACACACACACACACACACACACACACACACACACACACACACACACACACACACACACACACACACATCAATCAAAGTATAGCCCAATATCACACATTTTACATTATACACCTTCTGTCCTTACCCTCACATCAGACATGGACAAACTCCCAAAGAAACCCCGTTAAAATGGAAGAAACCTCTGACAGTTGAGCAGCCTAACTAGGGGCTATAAGCTTTATATAAAAGGAAAGTGTTAAGCCCACTCTTAAGGGTGTCTGCCGCCCGAACACAAACTGGAAACCGGTCCAACCGAAGAGGGGCTTGATAGCTAAATGTTCTGGCTCCTATTGGAGTTTTAGAGACTCAATGGGACCTTATTTTGCAAAAGATCATTTGTAACATAACTTCTGACGTGTAAGACTGTGAAACATTTTTTAAAATAAAGAAACACTCACGACTTGCAATAGTTATATGACGTTCTGTGTTGGTGAAGCTATGGCTGGAATTTTGTAACTGTTTTCTGAGCAGTTTCATATCAAATCAATGTTAGCCTTTAATACCACTCACTGTGAGTTTCTTCACTTAGAAAGTCACATTTTAAATTAATCAATATGTCATGTGCAATTCAAGGCACGAGTCAATCATGACCAAAAAGTCTCTTGCTGTTGACTAGTGGACATATGTTTTCTGAAATGATTTCCCACGGGGGAAACCGTATAGCTGCCTCTTTACAACTCGTCCGAACAGACTTGAGGAAAGACGTAATGACAGAGAGCACAACAAGGTGGGCAACAAGTGGAACACCCTCAAGCAACTAGTTGGCATCCCTAGCTACCAGCAAGACACAGCCTAGCAACCCTCTTAATGGAATATCGATCCTGTACACACACACACGCACACACGCACAACTCTTGAACACTTCCCTTCCCCCACTCTGAGCAGCAGTGATGCTGTATGATGTCAGGTGGCACACAAACACACACGTGACCGTCACACACACGCACACACAGGTGGATTACGGCACATAGAGACACAGCAGGATTAACTGAACACACACACGTCACACACACACACACACACACACACACACACACACACACACACAGGTTGCTATCCCTGTTTCACTTTTGCACGGTAGTGTGATCACACCGAACTTTGACCCCTGCCTTAAAACTTTAAAGACGCACATGGAAAAAATGGGGACCCAAGCTGACCCAAAACCATGACTGGATTTCCGTTGTTTAATCAACAATAGCATGTAANACACACACGTGTGTGTACACACACACACACACACACACAGGTTGCTATCCCTGTTTCACTTTTGCACGGTAGTGTGATCACACCGAACTTTGACCCCTGCCTTAAAACTTTAAAGACGCACATGGAAAAAATGGGGACCCAAGCTGACCCAAAACCATGACTGGATTTCCGTTGTTTAATCAACAATAGCATGTAACAATTCAGGTCTGACGGTAAACAAAACAGTTTCAGCACAAATAGATATAATCATTTCATAAAGAATACATTGGGTGAACTGGTTTAGTCAATAGCCACTGGGCAAATTNGTGTGTGTGTGTGTGTGTGTGTGTGTGTGTGTGTGTGTTGCCACCCAGTGGTCACTGAAAGTCAACTCGCTGCACACACTGGCCACCTTGATCTATAAACCCGATGGTTAGAACAGATTTTTTTTGGGGGGGGGGGTTTGTTGTGAAAACAGAGATGAATCTTTCAGAAAGATTCTGACAGGAAGTGCTAGTAAACATCAAAGAGAGGGGCAGATATTCATCAATTCAAATTCATAAAAGCAGACGATATTTGATGTATTTATTTCACAATGAATTACTTTTTATAAGCCCTTCAAGTTAAAGAAAAAACAAAATGCTAACATGTTTAGTTAATTGTGTCACCATTCTGTCGGTTCTTTTCATTGAAGAATCTGAAAGCCATGTTGTTTGTAAAAAAAACAAAAACAAACGGCAGTTCACTTCCGGGAGGCGCGGTCATGGTCACGTCACCTGCGTCATCTAAACCTGCAGAACAGCTGATCGTGACGTCACTCATCAACATGGCGGACTGGAATAGAGGTATTGTTTTTGACACGTCCTCACTTCTAAATATTCAGTCTTTAACCTTCTACAGCAGGACGGGGTTCATGTTACAGATGAATGATGGGGTGTTTAACCTAAAGGACAAGTCAGACCGGAAGTGTGTTTAGTATCTCGAGTTTTATTTCACTTTTACAGCCAAATACTGAAGCTAAGCTAACAGGCTAACTAACGGTATCAGCTGTTTGAGACTTCAAGCAGTGGTGGAGAGTAACTAAATAAATGTACTCAAGTACTTTATTTAAGTACAATGTTGAGGTACTTGTACTTAACCGGAGTATTTCCATGTTAGGCTACTTTGTACCAGAGGTGTGAGGAGTACTCAGATCTTGTACTTGAGTAAAAGTAGAAGTACCAGAGTGTAGGAATACTCTGTTACGGGTAAAAGTCCTGCATTCAAAATGTTACTCAAGTAAAAGTACAGGTATTAGCACTTTGTATGATGCTATGTCAGGATTACTACACATATGTGGAAATGAATGTAAAATAATTTTTAGATCTTGAAGTTGTTTTGATCATAAAGTAAAATACTATATTGTTCAACTCCAGATACCGGGTACTACGTGTTTTTGTAGATACACTTGGATCTGTACGTTGTAATGCATGTGTAAGTGGTACACTTAGGCATAAAACAGTTGAAATTACACTTATTTTTGGTAAGGATGTCTGGTTTATTCATAATGTTGTTGCACTAAATCAAAGGGATCAATTTGGAGTTGTTGTTATTTGTAGGTGATTATGCTGCTGTGATTTTACTGGTCCGGCCCACTGAGATCAAATGTGGTTGTATGTAACCACTGAAATGAAATGGAGGGTTTGACACCCCTGATGTAACATATCATATGGATGCTGCAATGGGATACTCAGAGTAATTTTTAAATCGGCTTGTTCATTTTTCTTACAGTTTCACTTGATATCAAATGGAAATGTTGTCATACATAGGATTATGTCTTTCTAGCGTACATAGGCACATTTCTTAATTATTCTCCTCTCGTGTCTGCAGGTCATGACTCTGTGGACGACATGCTGGACACTGAAAACAAGCGCCTGACTGATAACCTCGCCAGCAAAGTGTCCAGACTGAAATCTGTGAGTCCCCTCCAGTTCTTCTCGTTACAGTCAAGTTTCATCATTTCTGAGGCGTTTGTTGATGTGTTTAAGTGACTGATGAGTCCCTGTATTCATAGAGAACAACATAGATAGAAGTTGACGTGAACATAGACAACGTACTCGTCTTAACTCAGAGGCAGGTTTTTGTATTTCTGTTCCAGACCCTCCACTCTTTATAGTTCTTTTTTCGAAATAGGCTTTCTTTATTTTATTAAATGTGTAATATTGAAGTGTCACATTCATCATTCAACAGTACAAGTGTTACTGCAGATACATTCACATAACATTATGCACATTAAGAAAAGAGACTGGCCCTCCCAAAGGTTTCTTTTTATAACATTAGCTTTAATTATTTACAATTGAACATGGGAACATTTCCATTTCCCCTTAGAATAGATAAAAGCTGGTATATGAGTATAAATAATATATCATTATATATTCACACTTATTTATTCTCTAAAACCGGCTATCGTCCGTCTAATAGTTTGAATGCATGTTTTGGGACTTTGAGGGAAAATGAAAAATGTTCCATATAATATTTAAGTCCATACATTAAAAGTAAGTGGCTTTGATTTGAGCAACTTTCTTATGACATATATTTTGATTGTATGTCCGATCCTCAGTCTGAGGTTTTACACTCACACCTTGCAAAGACAATATAGGTCAATACAAAACAATAGACAATATAAATACAAGTGCTTGAACTGTGTCTTCTGTCCTGTCTCTGGATCTGTCAGCTGGCGTATGACATCGACCGAGAGGCTGAAGATCAGAACGAGTATCTGGACGGCATGGTGAGTCCATCCTGTCTGTAAGACTGATAAACATGTGGGCTTTGTTTGTTTGTTTGTTTGTTTGTTTGTCATGTCATCGAGCTAAAATGGAGTTAAAATAATAGTTGGTTGAATCAAATATAGGACGAAATGTACTCCTAAGTTTATCAGAATCAGAATCAAGTTTATCGCCAGGTACCTTTACACTTACAAGGAATTGACTTTGGTGTACGGGGGAGCAGACATAAACAACATAAGAAAATAAGTTGTAACCTTAATAAATAAATATATATATATTATTTTATTGTATTTATATAGCCCAATATCCCAGCACACATTTGTCTAAGAGGGTTTTACAGATCAACAAACATGATTCACAATGTCAGAAAAATATAATAATATTACAAGATAGAATTTAAAATACAAGAGATTAAAAAAAAATGAAATGAAAATACAAACAAAAAACAATAAAATAAAATAATATGACCCAAGAGGATGTTCTGGGGAAGCCTGAAACCTGCCCTAACTATAGGCTTTATAAAACATAAAGGAAAATGGTAACATTTAAGCCTCAGATTACATTTACTCCAACTCTAACTTCAAGTTGCTATTCAACAATGTTCCATCAAAAAACAAATGCAGCAATCAAGATTCAAGGCTTTTATTTATTTATTATTAAAATCTCAGGTCACAGGCTCCTCCCACAGTGCAACACAATAACACAGATAATAGTGCAAGTAATACAATAAAATATAATATAATAGAAATAGTGCAGAATAGTCTGTATATAAGTAATTGGAATATTGATATAAGTTGCAAACAGATGAATGTTATGGATGTTCTTTCAGAAGTGTTTAACAGTCTTATGGCCTGTGGGGTGAAACTGTCTTTTAGTCTGGTGGTTTTAATCTGACTATAATATATGCTGCATGCTTAATAAGAGTCCCTTCCTTGATCCCTTCCCTTCCTCTTGTCCTCCACCCTTCCAGGACTCAAACTTCCTGAGTGCGACGGGGCTGCTGAGCGGCAGCGTGAAGCGTTTCTCCACCATGGTTCGCTCCGGCAGAGACAACCGGCGCATCCTCTGCTACGTCTCCGGGGGCCTGGTGCTCGCCTTCTTCATCCTCTACTACATGATCTCCAGGATCCAGCGCTGACGGGGGGGGGAACCCCACCATCAGACAGGAGCTGAGACTAAAAACTCATATCTGAAAATACTTTTTATTCTGCACCAAAGTGAGAAAAAAGACAAACAGGAAGTGGACGTTTCTGTTGAATCGTTGGCGGTTGTCAAAATGCTCAGCAGGGGAAACGTGGATGGTACTGTCTGGTAGGAAGATACTGGAGTTAATTAAAAGTAACATGATTGGACTAAAGGTGGCTTTTCAACTGTACCTGAAGTCCTTATATGGGCGCGGTCATGCCAAAGACACTGGAAACAATTAAAAGAAACATGATTGGACTGATTGGGGCTTTTAAACTTTACCCTTCTCCCTTCCTGCTGTACTCAAGAAGTCCTTATATGGGCAATGGAATGGTGGAGCCTGAATGCAGCTCTGTGATAGGCTGATGAACCTGTCAATCATGACCAACTTGCCGCGAAGAGTCTCACCTCCAGAATACAAGAAATAATTGGACGCACGTTTTGGGTTGTAGCGAGTGTGTTCAAACTGCACAAGTTCTAATATGTTTACAAACTTATATAAAAAAGTACAGAGAATTGAAGACTAAAAACTTAAAGAAGCAGCAAAAGAAAATGTGATTTTGGTGGTGAGACATAAACAGAAAGGTTATGGGGGAACATTTATTAAATGTCTGGAAAACATTGTGCTTTTCTTGGTAAACGTTACATTATTCCAAGTTTTATGGACGTTGGCATGAATTTCTTGTCAAAACAAAACAATGATTTTTAAAGATGTTTTCGATCAAACAGCTGAAAAACATTTCATGATAATTGATATTTAATTGTATCGAGGGAGGAATAGAGACACAGCGTCTGGGGAGAACAGGAAGTGACACCGCCATCTTTGTTTTTTGCTGATCTCTAAATCACAAGGCGATGATGTAATGTCTTGAAGGACTGTCAATCAACTGTGAGTAGATAGCTCTCGTTAGCATCGTATACAATGTTATTGATTCTGCAGACTATAAGGAAACACTTACTACATGTTAAGAACTGCAAAAAAAAAAATTCGGCAACTATTTTCTTCTTTAACTCTTAATGTACATTAATCCAAAGATGGCAACAAACAAAAAAGCATATTTTAACCCCTAATTAGACGCTTTTCTCTATTTTAAATCCAATTAAAGTGAATATTGTTCAGGTTGGGACTGGCCAAACAACTAAAAACAACAACTTGGACTCTTGGGAAAACTGTGGTGGACAACTTATCCTGTGTTCAACAATGTATATAATCATTAACATTTTCATACATACTGGTCTATTTTTTTTTAACAAACCTTTAAACATCAATGTTTTCTGTTGCAGTTTTAAGCTTTGTCTGTGTTGGCGGTAACGGTTTCCATATTTTCATTAATATTACATTTTGGGCGATGTTCTGTTAAACGTTTATTGGATGTTTTGTCAAATGATACACATTTTGTCTAGAGGACATTGAATGTGTTTTCATTCCAGCGGTCTGCACAGACGACATTATGAATACACCTGCAATAAATGTATTTGTTTAGTTACTTATTGGGTATATTTGGACCTTCGTACCTGATGTATTTACGTTGTGTGCATATGTTACAAAGTCTTGAATGAAGAAGGGTTTATTTCATTTTTATAGTCCTAGTTTGACTGTGACATTTAAAGATTTTACTTTGATTACCTTCTCATGCTACTTCATACTACTATACAATTCAGAGGGAAACATTGCACATTACAGATTAAGGGAATTTGTCCACGTACAAAACACATGAACTTCTGCACCTAACAATATACATACAAGAAAATCTGAAACTGGGCGTTGGAATGTAAAATCCCAAACATTTAATGGATCCAGAAACTCAAATATGAGGATTTTGTGGTTTTTCCATATAAATATTTTTAATAAAAGTATATCATTCTATCATTTAGAGGTTGCCATACTCTACAGACATGTGGATAAATGTGTAAATAGCTTTTACATTTATTAATAAGTAATATGAAATGATATTATAATAAAATAAAATAAAACAGGTTAAATATATATTAGTGTAGAAATCACAAGGGGCATTCTATGCACACATGTTCCTGATTTCAATGCAGGACTTTCACTCGTATTTTACTTATTTACAGATTGGGTCAAAAACATTATGGGCGTCACTTGGTGGGGACACTTTTTTCAGATTTAAAAAACCACTACTGCATTAAAGGACCCCCTCATACCCTTACCATATATATCTTTTGACGACGAGTGCATTAACTATGCTACGCTGCATTTAACAAATTATCCTAATGTTTTTTTTTGGTTAGGGTTAGGTGGGGAAAAAAATGGCCATTTCCAAAAGGGATGTGGACATGTCCCCAGTATCCCCAGTATAAAGGACGCCTATGTCTTAAAATTTGAAGGACCTGAATACTTCTTCCACCGCCTTGGTTGCAAATAAATAACACATTTTATAATATGAATTGGCAACCGGAAGTCAGTTCACATTGTTTACACAGGGTAATTTAATTTGAGCAAATCATTTAATTTGTTTGCTATTAACTACTTATTTTCAGAAGTAAATGAGAAAGGATAGGATATTTGAGTTTTCTTAAGCTGTATGCCATAATCAGCAATATTAAAATAATAAAAGGCTTGCAATATTTCAGTTGATTTGTAATGAATCCAGAATGTATGACATTTTTGTTTTTTTAATTGCATTACAGAAAATAAAGAACTTTATCACAATATTCTAATTTTCTGAGACAGTCCTGTATATCTTTTGACGACGAGTGCATTAACTATGCTACGCTGCATTTAACAAATTATCCTAATGTTTTTTTTTGGTTAGGGTTAG